TTTTGACAACAAAAGTTTGACAATAAATAGTATGCATGCGTGTGTGCGTCAAATACATGGTATGTAGTGTGTGTAATGTTTTCTTTATTGATTTAATGTATCTTTTATGCATTATTTAAAAAAAATATTAGCATTGCGCACTTTTTCTCTATATTCTCTATAAGTGTGGAAAATTTCATACTCCTCCGACCGCGCAATTTTCGTAAAAAGGGATACAAAGCTTTTGCTTCACCTATTAATATATAGATAAATGAAAGAATTAAAATATTAAAATCGACTTTAGTGACACGTAGTCGAAAACTGTTTATTTAAGCCTGAAAAATTCACTATATTTAGTTTGTTATATCGTGTCGTAGGATTGCTCGGGTTGCTACCGCTATCCTGTCTATTTCTTCCGCAAGGCAGTCGTACGTGACGGCTTTGAATGGGCTTAAGAAATGCCTTTCTGACCTCATGTCTCAAGGGGGTGGTGGTTATTCTAATTGTTATTTCTGTAAGCCCCTATTTAAAGAAAAAAAAACCGGAATTGGTCATTTATCTTTGATTAATAAACGGTAAAAATTATTTAAGTAATTTGTCATAACCGTGAAATGGAGATTTTTAAAATAAGGTAAAAATGTTACACACTAAATGTACTGGCTTTTAATGATATTGTATATTAAAATGAATTAAAAATGTAATTTAAAATGAATCTTACATCACGAACCGTTCTAGTACATATTTTAAAAATTATTTTATATTTATTGCGAACGAGGTTTTTTTCAGTTCTCTCAATTTTCAGTATACAGCAAAATTTAAGTACAGTAAATTTTATCACATGCCCTTTTTATTTTTGATTAAAATTCCGTGTTATTTCTGCATTGTATAATAGAGGAATGAGACTAGAGTGTGTGTGCGGTGTGTCGGACCTCGTGCAGCCGTGCGATTCTGTAAGCGTTGTTTAACAAACTCGCACGTGAATTTGGTGTGAGTTTTCAAATTGGCATTCTGTAAATTTCATTGTAGTGCCGAATCTACACTAGCGCCCCTCGCGGGTGAATTGAACTAGCAAGCGTGAGTTTTTTTTACTAAAATGTATGAGTTGACGTTTGAAACGGCATTCTGTAGTGAAAATCACGTCGAATTTCGGCAAGAACTTCGCATCGCAAAATCATTTTATTTGTCAAATCAAAAGTTAGTGTTTTAAGTGTTTGTTGTGAGTGAGAATATACGAAAACGTTATAAACCGCTGTTAATTATTAAAAAAATACTATTAATTAACAAAATTGCACTTTAAAATAACTTTATTCTTCATGGATATTTATGGAGCGTATGTTTTTATTGAAAACATTGTTGAAAGAGGCTGACGCTACGGATCAGGGTGAAATGCGTCGACAAGCCTACGAAATTCACAATTTATCACTTTTAACTTGAGATGACGACTATGTAAAAGTATAAAGAAAGTGTATAGATTGTCGAAGGATCCATTAAAAGCCATTGAAAAGGACTTTCAACTCTTCTAAAGGTAGGTATTCCATGTGGTAAGATTGTGTCTTTATGTACAAAATAGGTACTTTAAAACATATTATTAAAGTTTGCCCATTTGTTTATATCATTGTAAAACAATACCACTAAACTAATCTACCAAAAATATCTTGAAAGAATACAAATTAGATTATCTAATAACTATGTGTATTGTATAATGATTATTTCTTAGTTTCAGTTATTGTGCACCTTGTTTATTTGGGCAAATGAAGTTACCAAAAAAATCATAAAAGAAAATATAAGAACATATTTGTCCCAGATATCCCAGTGTATATCTGAGGTTGTGGAGGCTCTGAACAACCCAGCAACTATATATAAATATTTAAGATTCCCGCAGAATGCTCAAGAATGGCAAAAGTTGAAGGAAAACTGAAGAAAAAAGAAGAAGGTGGTTTAAACTAAATAAATATTTTTTTTCTTCATAAAAAAGTACCAATATTAATCTAATGCTAAATATTGCAGTTTTTGTAAAAAAATTAAAATNACTGCGCAGAGTAGACAAGTTTAAATACCTAGGACACTTTGTAACCTCTGACCTGAGGGATGATACAGACATTGAGCGGGAGCGGAGAGCGCTGTCTGTAAGAGCTAATATGATTGCCCGCAGGTTCGCTCGGTGTTCGCGGGATGTCAAAATCACTCTATTTAGAGCGTTTTGTACGTCCTTCTATACGTGCAGCCTGTGGGTGTTCTATAGTCAAAAGCAGTACAGCGCCTTACGCGTCCAATACAACAATGCGTTCAGGGTGTTGTTGGGGCTGCCTCGGTTCTGTAGCGCGTCGGGAATGTTCGCCGAGGCACGAGTCGACTGTTTCTTTACGACCATGCGGAAAAGATGCACATCCCTGATTGGCCGGGTCCGGGTCAGCCCTAACAACATCCTGAAGGCATTAACAGACCGTTATGACTGTCGGTACTTGAACCATTGTACCATGGTTCACTTGCAGGCTAAATAATATTAGTAATAATAATGGTTGGTTCGAAGTAGGTATCAGTGGAATGGAATATTTGAAATGTACTCCACTGATAGCTACTTTTAATAAATGTATATTTTTTATTTGATTGTTTTTGTTAATGTTAAGTATATTTCAATGATACTATGTACACATATGGACTTATTGTTGTCTGAAATAAAATAAATCATTCATTCATTCATTATCTGTCTTTTAAAGTAAGATAAAATTTTGTGTTAATTTTGTTAATAGTAGTAAAAATATACTAAAAAAAAAAGTAAAAAAAAAGTAGTAAAGATAAACTAAAAAAAAAAAAAAAACTAAACTACGCTCTTTTGCTTAAACTTACTTATGAGAAAAATACTGGTGCTACCAAATGATTCCGCATATTAACTCAATTTCGAATATTTTTGGAATTTGTACACTTTTAATGCGAAAAGACGATGTGTCGAGTCTTCTCGCCCAGGTTAATAGAAAGGTTGTCGTCTTTAAAGAACTATAACTATAGTACATTTAAAGTATACTAAAGTATAGTATAGCGTTGTATGCCAAATGGATAAAACGCCCCGTGTGCTCATGACGAGTGTTGAAACTATATCGGAGCTGTCTGAAGTGAGTACTTTTTTTATTTTATTGCTTTGATGGGTGGACGAGCTCACAGCCCACCTGGTGTTAAGTGGTTATTAGAGCCCATAGACATTTACAACATAAATGCGCCACCCACCTTAAGATATAAGTTCTAAGATCTCAGTATAGTTACAACGGCTGCCCTAACCTTCAAACCGAAACGCATTACTGTTTCACGGCAGAAAAAGGCAGGGCGGTGGTACCTACCCGCGAGGACTCATAAGAGGTCCTACCGCCAGTAATTACGCATTTACAATTTTGCGGGTTTATTAAACGATGTTATTCCGTCATATGTGATTCTGAGAATATTAGGTACGAATTTCATTGGAAAATTTGTACGTGTCTGCGAGATTCGAATACCGGTACAGTTGCATCGCTCGATATGAATGCAATGGACTTCTTTTCGCCTGCTGCATTATATAATAATTAGTGGTCCCCCCGTAGTCGAAATTCTACTACAATTAATTAAACTAGAGGTCCCGCAGTAGTCGAAATTCGACTATAATTGGAATTGTAAGTTTGTACACTATTATGATTGTATTTTATACTTCTATAATCACAAATTTCGCAAGGCTACACTATAAAAAAATATTAATAAAGACAAACAATATTGAATCTATTCTCAATTTGACCACAGACGTCAAGAACAAAAGTTTGACAATAAATAGTATGCATGCGTGTGTGCGTCAAATACATGGTATGTAGTGTGTGTAATGTTTTCTTTATTGATTTAATGTATCTTTTATGCATTATTTTAAAAAAATATTAGCATTGTGCACTTCTTCTCTATATTCTCTATAAGTGTGGAAAATTTCATNGGTGTGCACACCCTTTACCATAGATACAGTCACCTCTGCATCAATAATAACATTCCAACAACATCAATCCAACAGGTATTGCAAATACCTAAATTGTTAATGATTTGATTTATTTAATTCAATATAATTTTTTTTTGTTGGTGAATTTGAGATACAGATAAATTACCGATATTCCCTGTTAAAATAGAATATCAATAAAAACGTGGTAGATAGATTTATCATACATAAATAGATGTTAACATGTCCTAAATATCTCTCCGGGAATGGATCATATCTGACAAGATAATTTAGTTCCTATATTTTTTAATATCCTTGTTATCTTATTGAACATGTTGAGATACGATTAAACCTTTTGTTTCGCTAGATTTTAATCCAAAACGTCTATCAATGCCTCTATTTGCACCAATGTCGGATGAGAAGAACGCTCGTTAAGTCTGTTGGTAAAATATTGAAATTTTAGATTAAAAAACAAATGGATGAACCATTGATAGCCTCATAACTAACTTTTACTTACCTCATAATTTTTATTTAACGTTAAATTCACTCACAAAGTAACAAAAATCTAGAAAAAGCAAAATAAAAACTTCCGACTGCTTGAGATTGTTTTGAAAACAATTAAAATTTTGTTTTTTAATTCTGGTATTCGCCAGTGCACGCAAAGGAACTTAGCGTACATCCAGAAATTACAATTCATTTCATAAATATATGACTTTTAATTTTCTTTTTAGATATATTAGATGTAGCTTAGACACCAAAGCTTAAATTCATAGTATTTTCTTACAGAATGCTTATAAATACAACGAAAAACTGAAACCGGTAAGCTTCGATTTACATTTTCGCGTATACGGCTATCCCTAGTATATTATAAACAAACTTCGTTGTCACTTCACTTCGCTCGAGGCAGGGTAATTAAGATTAGTGTTTACAGAATGCCAAATCAAGGTCATTCTATTGCGAATGCGAAGTGATGGAGAATTTCGTAGTGAGATGCGAGTTCTTGTTTGAATTTTAGAGAATCGCACGGCTGAGCGGAAAGCTCGATTTATATTTATCTTACACTCGTTCTTCACATACGTACTTACTGACCGCAGCCCGGATGGTTCCAAGATAATATTTATGAACAAAAGACACACATCGCTACATCAGTATCGATCCCACATCGTACGCAATCTATACAATGTATACGGACACTCGAGAATCGCATTTTCTCATTTAAAACAACAACGGGCGACTCTTACATAATTCCCGTCCGCCATTACCGCGGGCGGCGCGAGCGAAATTCGCCCTTAATAACAACGAACGTTGAGTAGGTTTTTTTCATTTTCCTTGCGCGTACCGCTCTATTTCGGAGCTGCGCCGGCGGTTACAACCTTGAATTCGGAACGCACCTTTAATTTTAGCCGGTTAACCTAGATACCGGCTCCGTTCAATGTGCGGTGGATCGATATTCGCATGCGCGCTGTCTCGGGCTGTTTTAAAATAGTACGGGTGTGGTGGGTACCTGGCGCGGTCTGGCGGGGAAGGTATGCCGTGGACCGGTGCTCGCGGCCGACTGGCGCGGCGGGCGGGCGGACGCGGGGCGCACGCGCGCTGCCGCCACCGACGTAACGATCGCCACAACGCGCGGAGCCTCCGGGACGCCACCACCTGATCCTCGCCTACACTACAGCCTCCGCAGCCCTGTGTGCTTAGTGCGAGTTTTTTAACGTTCTGGATAGCGTAAAAGTTTAGTCAAATTTGTATGGAGCTGGAGCAGTGCCCCTAGCGGCAAACATAGCCAAAAGTACTCCATACAAATTTGACTAAACTTTTACGTTATCGAGAGCGTTTAAAAACTCGCAATAAGCACACTGCACCGGGCCTTACGTAATGCCCCAGCCCGTCATTACCATCGGCTATGTGTGATGTGATATTGGAATTTACAGAAAGAAGTGTGCTTAGTGCGAGTTTTTTAACGTCCTCGATAGCGTAAAAGTTAGCCCAATTTTGTATGCAATTGGAACAGCGCCCCTAGCGGCAAACGCAGGCAAACGATACAATTCCATACAAATACGAGCTTTTACGCTATTGAGGACGTTAAAAAACTCGCACTAGGCACACTGATTTCGTTAGTATGTCCACGAAAATGATTCACGGCGCGTGTTTAATCTGTATTCGTACAATAAATAACCTTTTTGATGTTGGAAACTGGAGTAATTTATTACGCAGTGTGGTGGGACGGTGGCGCCCCGCGCGCTGGAAAGCGGCACTCGGTAAAAGCTCCGAGTACAATGCACGGAAAGCTCGTTGTTCGCTCAAGAGCTATTGTTTGCTTTGTATTTCATGTGACATTTGAAATTATGTACCTATTGTGTCTTCATATAAATGCAGTTTAGAAAACGTGTTACTTTATAGTTTATTTAATGTTTATTTTTCAATGAACAAAACAGACGGACTATATTTTTATTCAAGACTTAGATCCTTTACTAAAACTTACGCTGCACGAGCGTACAAAAGAAAAGTAAAATTTTATAATTTATTATTATTATTACAATGCGGTAAATGAATAAAAACATCTCTCAAACATCATCGGGAAAATTATTTGGTATCTAGTTAAGCTCCTACTAGCGACATCTAGTGTTCATTTTCCTTAATTAAATCAAAGATTTCGTTGTCCGGAGCGACCTTGACCTGATGGGTAGAGCGGGAATCCATCAAGCATTTCGGTACGAGGCTAGAGGACATCGTTCACATTGGGACGTTAGTTTTTGAGTAAAATCACCTCAATTTTCATTTACAGTCTTTGTTTGTTGAGAAAAGTGGATGGCCTGGATTACCGTAGACCAGTGATTCTCAACCACTGCACTTTTGTGTGCCGCCAAATTTCAAAAGTGTGCCGCCAAATTTTGCGAATATATAATAATGTTAATATTATTAAATTATATCATTTTAAAAGAAAAATATTTTAAACATGAATATATATTAAATCCACAAAAAAAAATTATAGTATAATTTAGTTTATTTCGTATATCAAAATTTTTTGATAAACTATTTATGCAGTGTGTTGGAATAAGTAAATAATTTTTATCTTTTTTTTTTGTGTGCCGCCTAATTTTGAAATCGTTAAATATGTGCCGCAACAAAAAAAGGTTGAGAATCACTGCCGTAGACATTATCAACGTATATGTCACCACCCACCTCGTGACATGAGTTCAACTCTCAGCTTTGAGTACAACGGCTGCCCCACCTATCAAACAGAAAGCACTGCTTCACGGTAGAAACAGGCAGGGTGGTGGTACCTATCAGAGCGGAGTCACACGACGTCCTACCGCCAGTAATTACGCATTTACAATTTTGCGGGTTTATTAAACGATGTTATTCCGTCATATGTGATTCAAATACCGGTACAGTTGCATCTTTCGATATGAATGCAACGGACTTCGTTTCGCCTGATGCATTATATAATAACTAGTGGTCCCCCCGTAGTCGAAATTCTACTACAATTAACTAAACTAGAGGTCCCGCAGTAGTCGAAATTCGACTATAATTGGAATTTTAAGTTTGTACAATATTATGATTGTATTTTATACTTCTATAATCACAAATTTCGTCAAGGCTACACTATAAAAAATATTAATAAAGACAAACAATATTTAATCTATTCTCAATTTGACAACAGACGTGAATAACAAAAGTTTGACAATAAATAGTATGTATGCGTGTGTGCGTCAAATACATGGCATGTAGTGTGTGTAATGTTTTCTTTATTGATTTAATGTATCTTTTATGCATTGCTTTAAAAAAATATTAGCATTGTGCACTTCTTCTCTATATTCTCTATAAGTGTGCAAAATTTCATAATCCTCCGTCCGCGCAATTTCCGTAAAAAGGGACACAAAGTTTTTGCTTCACGTATTAATATATAGATTAACTGAATTTATAAGTTTGAACATTATTAAGGTTCAATTGTCAAAGACTTACTTCTATAATCACAGATTTCGCCAAGACTACACTATAGACAAATTATATTAAAGACAAACAACATTAATCTATTCTCAATTTGACCACAGACTTTTTTATTGCTTACATGGGTGGACGAGCTCACAGCCCACCTGGTGTTAAGTGGTTACCGAAGCCCATAGACATCTACAACGTAAATGCCGCCACCCACCTTGAGATATGGGTTCTAAGGTCTCAGTATAGTTACAACGGCTGCCCCACTCTTCAAACCGAAACGCATTACTGCTTCACGCCAGAAATAGGCAGGGTAGTGGTACCTATCCGCGGAAACTCACAACAGGTCCTACCACCAGTAATTACGCAAATTATAATTTTGCGGTTTTAAGCAATAACAAAAGTTGAAAATAAACAAAGAGTGTGTATCAGTATATGGATGTGTTGTGTTAAATATATGGTAGTGTGTGTAATGTTTTTTTGTAATTAATTTAATGATTTTTTAAATAGTTAAAAGATATTAATATTCTGCACTCTTTCTCTATATTCTCTATAAGTGTGGGAAATTTCCTACTCTTGCGTCTACAAAATTTTTGTAAAAAGGGTCACAATGTTTTTGCTTCACGTATACTCCGCGCGCGAGCTCCGAGGATTCGGGGGCTGAGGAAGAGGGCGGGCGTGCACCGCGCCCGACCGTCGCTTCATACCCCGCACTCTCCCAGTATTAGTGTTGACCTGAACGTGAGAGTACGCTTATCGACTCGTTGCTTTTAATTTTGCGATAGCAGTGTTAATTACGTGTGATTTCTAATATAAATAGTCTTACACTTATAAGTATTTTTGTTTGCACAAATAGCTATTTAATTTGATGAAAAAGGAATGGCGCGCATTAGCATAATAAACATGTCTTAGCATTAGAGGAATATTACTGGTAAAAGGATGGCTTAATGGAAGATGTTGTCGAATCATTTATTATTGAAGTATCGAAGGAGAGTACATCAAATTCTTCAACTACTGATTAATCTGATTGCTAATTAATAAGATTTCACGTTCATTTTGTTCAATAAAAATCAGTTTATTGAATGAAATTCATACGTGATTATATGTTTTTTTTATTTATTTCAAGTACATAATACTCTCATAAAACTATTTTAAAATTTACACTCGCACGGAGGTTTAAGATGTGTTAGATATCGATAGCGCAATATCGACTAAATACAACACTAGCTCATTACGTCAACATTCCTTAAAAATCCTCGGAGCTCGCGCGCGGACAGTATATTAGAACATAGATGTATGTTATTGAAGTCTTAATTGTACATCGCTAGACAGATGAACTCCCTATTTGGCTTCGTCATAGTGTGAATAGTGTCTGTTTGTTCATCCACTTTGTCGTATTTAAATAATAACTTGTATAGTTTTCTAGATTTTATTATATTTTACTATATTGATACACAAACAATCGGTAGAAATTTTGTATCAGTAATGGAGGGAAAATGTAATGACACAGATTATACCGATAAAATAGATTATACAAACTCAACAGCGTCACTTACTCGAAAAATGAGATTAAAACCTCAATTGTATCGTATGAGGGCTCACAAATGCCCACGTTTCCCAACATCTCGTTTTGCACCATCCACAGCCGGAGTAGAGTTCATCCATACTACCTGGAGCCACTGCGGTCATCCACAGTGCGTTTCCGGATATTGTTTTGCCACGTACCATCCGGCTTTGGAATGAGCTCCTCTCCACGGTGTTTCCCGAGCGTTATGACATGTCCTTCTTCAAACGAATCTCGTGGAGAGTACTTAACGGTAAGCAGCGGCTTAGCTCTGTCCCTGGCATTTCTGAAGTCTATGGGTGACGGTAACCACTTACCATCAGGTGGGCCATATACTTGTCGACTTACAAGAGCAATAAAAAAAAAGAAAATCAATGATGCCCACATCTAATTTTGTAAATTCTTTCCCTTCTTCGAGATACGAATTAAAACGAAATCTGGTTACAATTAAAAAAAGGTTCATTGCTAATATTTTATTACACAAATATACAATTAGATTTTCGACATCACATTCTTAGGAATACGTTCATAGCAATAAATTTAAAACTAAAATGATTTCATATACAACTTAATACACAAATAAAAGTAATTGCTCTACTAAAAGAATTCACACTTCAGCATGGCGGCAGTAAAGCGGTTTCAGTTCCAAGATAATAAAATTCAATAAAGCAATTACCTACCAAATTTTATTGGATTACATATTATTTCAATATTGTTTACTGCGATACAAGATTTGATTTTTATTAATGCACAACAGCATGTCATCTAGATACACAAAAATATTTCGTTTATAATTTTCTAAATGTACCTAAAAATATTGGCTTACTTATAATGTTACAGTTTCGAAGGCTTAACCAGTGCTAATATTTTAATTGGCTGTACATTAATCGTAAGGAAGAATTCAGTATTCGTTTCTAATTGTGAATTGGCCAGCGAAATTGTGTAGAAACCGAACGCTAAATCATGGGGCGCATACCTAAATACAATTTCTTATATTTTTATTTTATAATGTCTTTATATGTTTTTACTGCTATTATTTAACTACATTGTACAGCACTAGATTTATGAAACATAATTGAAGTTACATTATAAAACCTTAAGAAAAGAATAAAAACAGAAAATTGCAAAAATCAATAAAAACACTGCTTTGAAACAGTGTTTCTCAAAGAAACTATACATTTGGCACGCTACGAAAACTAGGAAATACTATAAAGTCGACAACCACAACCGGCGTGGAATGGATCCAATAAAAAAAACCCCAACTAAAATGGCATTCTGTATTCGTTCTGTTTGTTAATCTAATGTAAATTTGTCGAATAAATCAGAAAGATAATAATATAACAGGATTTATGAAGTTTAATATATAAAAAAACAATGATGTCTGAAGAAAGCGTAATGTTCGTTTTCATATATGTCAAGTCAACAGCATTATTACATACTACATAACAACACGTTATTTATAAATCTCATTTTTTCATATCACATCATTCATACATTCTATGTCTTAATCGCTAAACTATAGGGTCACTTTTGGTTTGTGACTGAGAACTTTATCGTTACACGGGATCTTTGTTTATTATAATTCGATAATTAAAAAAAAACCCATTAAAGTCTAGAAAGCCGCCAACTTTGGAATGTAGATTAAATATAATTTACAGGAACTTGGGTTTTGTTAATACCGGTAGTGCTTTGGATTGTTGATCATTGAAATTGACAGCTAAATATCACCTAGAATGTTTATTATCTATTAAAAATTCCTAAAGTTCTCATGAAATGCTTTTTTTTAATACTCATTTGATATTTTAGAATAAATAAGTAGGCCTAATCCTATATTTTACTATACTATGTATTATTTATATGTTGTACTTTTCATGCTTCATAACTACTTTTATTATTATTGCTAGTAGTAGTATTAAAGTATTGCTATAGTTAGATTCTGCTAGCAGACAAGTTAAGTTTTTAACGCAATGTTGCAAGAATGTCAATTGTTGCAGAAAAATCCAGACAACAACCGCTTAACTGTGGGAGACATATAACAAAGCCTCTGAATGCTAAAGCTGTCAACATTAACGATTGCCAATTAGAATTCCGGATTTGACAATTTTGAAAATTTTAAATAGGCAGTTCCTGATGTCGCTCGCTAGGTAAGATTTACTACAAATATTCCTAAAACGAATTGCCCAAAAGAATTTATTCAGCTGTAAAACTCTCTATACAAACTAAATTCTATGATGTTGTGCCATATTGTAAGGTCAATGAAGTAGTAAGCTTGGATTCCAAATTTTGGTCAACTTATTTATTTAACTCGTAAGACAGCTAATTTGCTTGCCGCAAAAATGATGGGAACTAATACTGCCTTGGAAGGCTAACTTCCAGAGGGAACGAGTCTTGGAACTCAATAAGAATTTGATATCTAACAAAGATAATTTTTATGAGCAGAGGAATAATTGGATTATTCGTCTAACCGTAGGGATTTAATCACGAAAAGCAATTTTGGACAAAAATTGGGCAGGAAAAGCTCCACTTGAACTCAGAGTTGATTTGGACGAGAAAGACAATTACAACGTGGCGTCAGTACAAAATTGCACATCGGAACATCTTGTATGAACTATGGAACTATGTTTTTTTTAGTCTATTTGAAGCATCGGTTGTATTAATATTCAAACTGTAAATAAACTAGTTAAAATCGTGTGTTATGTGGAAAAAAATACGAAATCATAAAAAGTACTGTTGATTTAATAATATTAGACTTAAACATTACAATGTCTGTTGGTATACAATTATCGGAAACATTAACTAAAACATTGACATAACTTAAAAATTATTTATTTACAACTACACTATTTTTCATAATTGATCAATCGATTTTAAAATTAATCTATTTGTCANAAAAAATACGAAATCATAAAAAGTACTGTTGATTTAATAATATTAGACTTAAACATTACAATGTCTGTTGGTATACAATTATCGGAAACATTAACTAAAACATTGACATAACTTAAAAATTATTTATTTACAACTACACTATTTTTCATAATTGATCAATCGATTTTAAAATTAATCTATTTGTCAGTTGTCTTTCCGCTGTAAAGCTAATTAAACCTAATTTCGGTTCCCAAATTGCATTAAGCTTCGTTCGCCAGCCATCCTCAGTACGTTGCGCGACCTAAAGTGTCCCTTGAACTTGGAGTCAAATTAAAGCTTAATTTTTTAATTTTAAATCAACTAGATGAACACCTGACGATCTTTAGAAGCGCCTCTGGCGGCGAGGCTCAGTACAAATACATCCAACACGACAAATCACATTCCCAGTACATATCACAGCTCACATCGTCAATGTTGTGTCTTTTTGAGAACAATCCAACGTTTTACGCTCCTTCGAAAGGAACCATTAAAAAAATAATTCAAATACTGAAGTTTTCCAATAGAATTGGCACCATGATTAATACAACTTATGTCATTATTAAGCTAAGGAAGGGTTTTTTTGGATACAGTTGATACTATATTGGGACAAATAAAATAATTTAGACAGATAAACGCGTGGGAAGATGTCCTTTAGTATCGGGTAAGGGTTCCGTGCAAGGCTACAGATAGCTTGACCCGATTCTCGATCAGGCCTTACGTCTAAGACCTAGAGTCCTAGTTCGGAGAAGGAGATACGTATTCATTTATTGGTTTTCACTGGACATTATTGCCGTATTCCAGTCCGAAGAGGGACAGGATGACGAAGGCGAGTCCCAGGAACACGGAGCCGAGGAGGTCTCCGAGCGCCGTGAGGTAGGGGATGGCGGCATTGTCGGGGTCCTTCTTCCTCTTCCACATGAAGTGGATCACGATGTAGGCCAGGTAAAGGAGCAGCATCACCTGCAATAGCACAACCACATGCCTTAGTTGGTTAGCCCCAATACACATTTCCTTTTTAAAAACGCCGCGATAAAATCGTCACTAAAACGTTTATTATAACTAGTGGTCGCCCGATAGTCGATTGAAATTATGTTTGTACACCATTATGATCCTATCAAAGACTATTTCTTAACATATTTCGCCAAGACTAAACTTTAGGTAAATATGAATAAAGACAACAAACTATATTTAATCTATTCTCAATTTGACCACAGACTATAAGCAATAAGAAAAGTTTGACAATAAATAAATACCTAGTCAGGTCATAAATTCTGTCACATGTTTAATGTAAAATAATTGAAACAAGTTTATTCATTATGTAACCATTCATATACCAAAATGAACTTAACAAAACATAGATTCTTATGACACTGAAGTTTATTCAAAATGACCTCCGTGATTTTGAATACAGGCCTTCAATCTGCGCGGCCAGTCGTCTATCGCAGCACGAACGAGGTCCATGTCAATATCGGCGGCTGCCTTAATCAAGGATGTCTTGAGTGACTCCAAATTGGGATGAGGCTTTGAGCACGCCTTTTCCTCCAAGTGTTGCCATATCTTGTAATCTAACGGATTCAAATCTGGACTGGAGGAGGGCCAGTCTTCGTGCCGGATGAAGTCGATTTCACGCGCCGCCAGCCAGTCTTGTGTGCTCTTCGCTCTATGAGCTGGCGCCGAATCTTGTTGGAATACCCAGTGCCTGTTATTGAACATGGTATGAGAAACAGGTTCCACAAGGTTCGTCAGGACTGTATTTTGATACACAACTGCATTCGTTTTTACACCTTTCTCACAAAAATGTACCTCTGTTAAGCCCCAATAAGAAACTCCCAACCATACCATGAGCGAGGATGGAAAATGACCTCGTTGGACACGCGGAATACGGTTGCTCGCTTCTTCACTACTGTGTGCGTACACCTTATCATTTTGTTTGTTGTAGCTCTCTTCTACGGTAAAAATTTTTTCATCCGAAAAAAGAATTTCCCGATATTTTTTTCCCGCGTACCGCTTCAACAAAGCGCGGCATCTCTTCAGTCTCAGGTCCATTAGACGAGCATTCAAACGATGTCCTGTTTTTCTTCGATATGCCCGAAGCCCTAAGTCTTCATTTAACACCCTTTTCACCGTGGTTCTGCTTAACCCCATCTGAAGGGCCAACAGTTTCTGCTTACGTTTGGGATTTCTTTGAATTCGCGCCTTCACAGCTTTTATCACTGCTGGAGTCCTAACAGACCGAGGGCGACCACTTCTTGACCTGTCATCTACACTAGAGTCTTCATTGTATCGTTTGATGGTACGATAAACGAATCTTTTGGTTATATTCAAATTTTTCAGTATGTTAAAAATTTGAATTGGCGCGTAACCGCAACGATGCAACGCAATAACTGCAACACGGTCTTCTTTAAGCGTCCACTCCATATTTAAAAATGAGTAAAATTCTAAAAGTATACATTTTTATTTTCATGAACAATTCGAAATTCGAATTCAATAAACTTTTTTGTGGCCAGCATTCTAAAAGAAAAGTTTTTACTGTGTGACAATACTTATGACCTGACTAGTTATATAGATTAGTGTTCAATAGCTAACTGATATTTTTGGTAGTAGTGGATCAATTGTGTGGCTTATTATTAGGAATTTTAAGAACATGTTTCATAAGAAATACATGAAGACCATTTAAAAAAAACACTTTATACTTTTTTTACTAGTGACTTAGCGCATTGGGTTATGTAGCCTATGCTCTTTTTTCCGTCCAGCGTCCTAGTTCGTAAGGAGAATCTCATGTTTCAACATATGATTAGTTTTTGCTTCACGTATTAATATATAGACTAGATGATGACCGAACTTTGGGCGTTTTTTAATTTATTTTTTATAACGCCATCTTGTTGTGTCTTTAAAGCAGTAAAATAGTATTATTATTCGCCAACAGATGTCGGGAAGAGTCACAAAGTTGATTATCGATAAAGTTGATTATTGAAAACACGAATAAAACAACATTTTCCGAAAATAAATCGTTAGCCAGATCGATTTATCGCCCCCGAAATCCCCTGTATACTAAATTTTATGAAAATTGTTGGAGCCGTTTCCGAGATTCAGATTATATATATATATATATATATATACAAGAATTGCTCGTTTAAAGGTATAATATAAAGTACAAGAGCTTGACCCTGGCGAGTGTACCTGCAGCAAAGCGCACGTGAGGTACGTGATGCCGAACGCGAACTGGATGGTGACCGTCCCCTGGTACACGAAGTCCGCGACCACCATGAAGATTATCTGCCCGAAGACGGCCAGGATCAGCAGCATGCGAGCCACCTTCGCCGCGGTCGCTGGAAACAATGGACTCGTGAAGATAACAGATAACAGATTACTAGTGGTAGGACCTCTTGTGAGTCCGCGCGGTTAGGTACCACCACCCTGCCTATTTCTGCCGTGAAGCAGTAATGCGTTTCGGTTTGAAGGGTGGGGCAGCCGTTGTAACTATACTTGAGACCTTAGAACTTATATCTTAAGGTGGGTGGCGGCATTTACGTTGTAAATGTCTATAACCATTCAACACCAGGTGGGCTGTGAGCTCGTCCAACCATCTAAGCAATAAAAACAAAAATTGCCTTGTGTTATAGCTTACGGAATGCGCACGCGTTGTTAGTAGAAAAACTTACTTCCAAAGAACAAGGTCTTCCAAGGCCACTCAATGATCTTAGTGTTCTCCGGCAGGATCCCGGGGATGGCGGTCTGGTGGAGGTGCGTGGCCAGCCGGGACGACTGTACGCACACCAGGTTCCCCCCGATCCCGTTCACGATCGGCTGGAACACTTCGTACCCTCGGAAGTAATCGACGGCCTGGTCCAGGACTATACCGCCGATACTGAAAACGAAGATGAGTCAAGGATAATAATATAAATATATATGGCAGTGGGCAGGTCACATAGCGCGAAGATCGGACGGCCGATGGGGCAGAAAGATCCTCGAGTAGAGACCACGTACTGGCAAACGCAGTGTGGGACGGCCACCTACCAGATGGACCGACGACCTGGTGAAAATAGCTGGGTCACGTTGGATGTACGTGGCAATGGACCGGCCGCAATCGACACAGTTGGAGAGGCCTATGTTCAGCAGTGGACAGTAGACAGGCTGAGATGATGATGATATGTCGGAGACGGTCATTAGTTTGGTAGCATCAGTTTGGTAGCTAAACGAAACGCAGCACGATTCCCGAGAGATGACGGCACGATTGCGGTATCGTCGGAACTCGCCTAACTTCGTGCTACGACAGAACCTAGCCGATGGAGGCGCGTAGACGCCATCACACTTACCAACCAGTCTTCTTGAAGAGCGGTGCCACCATCCTAAAAACTGTCATTCGTTTTCGTTTTTCTAACGTCAAGAAAAGATTTCTAAATTGTTCTAAGACAACAAACATGATTGGTGTACTGAATATTTCTCTTAGCTCGATCACCCTATTCGCCCCTACGATGTCTGGCGATGGTGTTAATAATTGTGGCTTCTCCGACATACATATATTTATGAGGAATATGAGGAGCGTTCAACCGACGAGATCGTAGGTATGCTGTCCTTGCTTTAACAATCAAATTCGCAAGCTATCCAAATAAATATAGAATACCAGTCGCTGTTAATCGCATGACTTGAAAACGGCTAGATCAGTTTGGATACTATTGGTCTTATGGAAAAATACTTACAACTGAAGCCGGCAGGTGACACTGCGATCAAATTCAAGGATTTGTTTATTTCCAAGACAGGACAACGTCTGCCGGGCTCGCTCGTGTGATAAACTTATAAATTTGTCTTACTTGTTCGACCATTTTTATCTAGCTAGCATTGACTTTATTGTTAATAGGACGTCTTGTGAGTTCGCACGGGTAGGTACCACCACCCTACCTATTTCTGCCGTGAGGCAGTAATGCGTTTCAGTTTGAAGGGTGGGGCAGCCGTTGTAACTATACTGAGGCCTTACAACTCACATCCCAAGATGGCAACGGCATTTACGTTGTTGATGTCTATGGGCCCTGGTGACCAGGTGGACCGTGAGCTCGTCCACCAATCTAAGCTATAAAAAAATAACTTACAGATTTTATGAGAAACCTAAAATAATAAATTAGAAAGAGTGGGAAGCGTACCCGCTTATGAACAGGGCGGAGATGACGGGGGTCCAGCCGCTGGTGAGGACGGTCTTGGTGTACTTGTTCCTCCAGACGATGAACACCCAGAGCGGGAGGAGGCTGTAGTACACGCAGATCAACGCGATAGGCTGCCACAGAGACACCTCTGGAAACGAAAATCAAAGTCAGCGTTCTGAGTATTATTTTTTTATTGCTTAGATTGGTGGACGAGCTCACAGCCCACCTGGTGTTAAGTGGTTACTGGAGCCCAAAGACACCTAGTTCTAAGGTCTCAGTATAGTTGTAACGGCTGCCCCACCCTTCAAACCGAAACGCATTATTGCTTCGCGGCAGAAATAGGCAGGGTGGTGGTACCTACCCGCGCAGACTCACAAGAGGTCCTACCACGAGTAAGAAAAGAGTAGCTTCTGAAGCTTTCAACCAGTTCTTCGATTTTTCGGAAAACTTTGATAATTTCGTCAGCTTGGAGCACGAGAACTAGCTTTCCAGTTCCAATCATTAGGAGAAAAGAGCTTGCAATAGCAGTGATTTTGTTTATTCTTTAACTTATACATAATATGTGCGTATTGTGTTGCTTTTGTTTTTTACTTAAATTTCTAAATTTCTTTTTTTATTCTATCTTCACTCATTACTGATATGTGATTTTGTGGAGGGAGCATGTTTGGTTATTGTTTTAGCTTAATTTTTTAAATAGTTATATGCTTATGTTGTACTGTTGGTTTCCCAAATAAATAAACTTTAAACACAATACATTCCACGCATTGTTCGAAGGGATTGCTGTCGGCCCTCTGACGTCGGTCTCATAGTGACGTATTCCTCAGAGCCACCAACATCATTGTAAAATATATTTGGTTTTTCGTATTTGGATGTATTCTTTTATGATTGTATGTGTTTTTTTTCTTCTAATATTTTATAGTTAGTAAAAAAACAACTTATTTTACATTTATATACTTAAAAACATTTATATGTTTAGATCTTAAAGGAGAGCTCTAAATTAAACATTGTAATACCATTTGTATAATACATTGACAACTTCTTAAAATAATCTTGTTATGTAATGCAGGAGAGATCAGTGATTATCTTAAGTACAATTAATGGATTAATTTCCTTTGATTACCAAATACCTATGTTAAATGATTACGTATTTCGATCATCTAATCGGTTTTAATTTTCTTTTTCTTTCGTTCTTATTTTACGCATGTCGATATCACTGTCGCCACTTGATATCAATATTTTCCTCAGTCGAGATGAGGAATAAACTGATGGACTCAAGGGTTTCAAGGAAATTTATGTTCTTACGATACTTTTTCTCCATCTATAAAACAGCTGATTAGCTTATTTGATGGTAGTATTTTATTTAAATTGATTTCATATTTATTTTTCAATACTTTCCCGAAGTTCCAAAGCAGAGCTTTCAACCGATTTCGAGGAAACCTCGAGCTGATCATTACACTTTCTCGACTGAGTGGAGGTCGAAGCAGTTCTTTCTTTCAACTTTGCCAGTAATCATCAGTTTTTTCAAAAATGTTTCCTTCTTTCCTGGCAATGTGTCCCGAGGGTTCGTTTGAAGCAGTTGCTAGAAAGCCTTGTTTGAGTCTATTCGCTAGACCTAAGAAAAACCTTCGAAGAGTTAGACTGAAGACATGGTAGGCATCGTCTTGGCTCTGCCCTGGCATTGCTGACGTTTATGAGAGACGGTAACCACTTATTACCAGGTGGGCCGTAGGCTCGTCTGCCTGCGAAGGCAATAACCAAAAAGACACTCACGGATCTGCTCGTACATGTACTGGGCGGTGACCGCTAGCACCGTATTGCTGACGATATCCCCGATGGAGGCCGCCAGCGGAGTCGCTACGTTGTCCGGGTTCACCTTGAACCTGTGCGACGCGTATATCACCATTACCATCACGAAATCTGCGAAAAGATTTACATATTTTAAGCTGTCATTATCGAGATGAAAACAACGAAAGAGATGGTGGTGGTGGTGATGGATGGTGGTGAAGTGTCCGAGCATTTGGACGCGAGACCGAGCTGTTATACGGGATTCTTAGTGGTGGTAGGAAGACTTGTGAGTCCGCGCGTGTAGGTACCACCGCCCTGCCTATTTCTGCCGTGAAGCAGTAATGCGTTTCGGTTTGAAGGGTGGGGCAGCCGCTGTAACTATACTTGAGACCTTAGAACTTATATCTCAAAGTGGGTGGCGTATTTACGTTGTAGATGTCTATGGGCTCCAGTAACCACTTAACACCAGGTGGGCTGTGAGTTCGTCCACCCATCTAAGTATTAAAAAAAAAGTCACCTCTACTAACTAATAGAACTCTTTCTAAAGTCAACACTGGTAGCAGTACTCTCCTTTTTTTTTTTTTCCTACCTAAGTTGAGAGCCTTGAGAGGCTATTTCAGCGTAACCCTAACTTTTGTAGGTGAGCTCACGGGGTTCAAACCTGATGACGTTGCTAACACGAACCCTAGCAAGAGCCGTGCTTCGCAGAATCTACCACCGGATCGGAAACGCGACCCACTGAGAAGATCCGGCGAGAAACTCAGTGGGCTGTGTCTGAGAGTTAAGTACTCTCCTCAACTACCCTCCACCTAATCGACCACGAGCTCTTCGTGTATAATTACAATAAACAATAAAGAAAGACACACAATACGACCGACTACTCTGTGTGCTTAGTGTCGAGTTTGCCTCCGTTTGCCGCTAGGGGCGCTGTTTCAACTCCATACAAATTTGAGTTAACTTTTACGCTATCGACAACGTTAAAGAACTCGCACTAAACACACTGAACTAGTTATTGCCCAAACGCTCTGTGAGTCAATTTCAAAACATTACTTTTCAAACTGTAATAAAATACGTGATAATATTACGGACGTTAGTTACATTACGCGTGTCGTAATTATCATCGAAGCACGCACATTTATTAGAAATTAATTCTAAAAGTATATTATTCACATTATCTAGATCACGATATTGAAATATTCTTATGTTTTAGTTAATAATTGATACATTTGTAAGAGCTGTGATGATGAGCATTTATCTTTTTGACGTTGAGTCTTAATGACCGTGTTAGTGTCTCAAACTCAAAATGGTTGAAGTCAGAAACGCCAAAAAGCCTAATCTATTGGAGATATAATCCGGCGAAAGTCGTTTACGCGGTACCAAGATCAAGTTGTGTATTCTACAATTATAATTTACTACTGTATTATATGACTAGCTGACCCGGCAGACTTCGTAGTGCCTCAATCTATAAATAAAATACCTAAACTTTTGTATAAAATAAACTTAAAACAAACAAAAGGAATCCGTCCGACGGGGACACATCAAAGAAAAAACAAAATTGTTATTTTTATTTCATTCCGAGCATTTTCATATTTATCTACCTTTTAAACCTTCTCTGGACTTCCACAAATAATTCAAGACCAAAATTAGCCAAATCGGTCCAGCCGTTCTCGACTTTTAGCGAGACTAACGAACAGCAATTCATTTTTATATATAGAGAAGAAAAGATAAGAGAACGTCGTTATTGTTATGCCGGTACGAATAACGCCATCTGTCATCAAAATAGAAGAAACGAAAACTAAAACTAACCAGTCCTATCGGGAACGTTCGAGAAGTGTAACGCCATCTATTGTCAAACAGCGAAAACGAATATAGAAACGGCTGGTACTATCGGAGATGTTTTCGGAAATTGAGGTAATGCGTCTTACTACATATAAAGGCGTTTCAGAGATGACATTAAGGGTGTCAGTAGCCAGTTCTACTCGGAACGAAACAGCGAATGTAACGCCTGATGTGAAACGCGAGTGAATTGTGATGTTGACGTCCAACTTATGTGTGATAACAATTTTATTGATCTTCAATTTATACTTCGATGAAAGTTCTTATTTAATCCGAGCCCCAGCGCGTTACATTAAAAAATACCTATTGTCAATTATAGTCGACTAGCGACCCGCCCTCGCTTCGCTTCGGAAACGCTTCGCTTTGGTAATTTATTATTGATTTCTCCACTATTTAATGGCTGTTTTTATACATAAAAAAACCGCATCAAAATCCGTTGCGTAGTTTTAAAGATTTAAGCATACATAGGGACAGATATAGGGACAGAGAAAGCGACTTTGTTTTATACTATGTAGTGAACTACATAGTATAAAACAAAGTCGCTTTCAGCCGGCTTCAGCCGCTCCAAGCTTTTTTAAAGTTCTTGTTTTCAAAACTATTGATGTTTTTTTAAATGTACTGTAATGTAATGTACCTACTGTAAAAACGGAGACATTAGAACTCATGTCTCGAGGTGTGTGGCGACATTTACGTTGTAGACGTCTATGGGCTCCGATTACCACTCAACACCAGGTGGGTCGTGAATTCGTCCAACCATCATATGGTTATGTTTATAGAAATAAATAAAAAACAATCAGCCCCGCATCGTCATAAAACGATTTCTACAAAGTTAATGATTATTAATTATTTTTCCGTCTCGAGGTGAATTCAAATGACGTGGTAACATGACTATTAAATCGTGTATGTAGGTACTTGGTTGAAAATATGAATAATGCTATTCTGATATGAATAATCATTAATCTCTAAGATCCGATCAGGATAATGAGACAATCTAACCAATAAAATGTATTGTCTATACTAATATTGTAAAGAAGAAAGATTTGTTTGTTTGTATTGAATAGGCTCCGAAACTACTGAACGGATTTTAAAAATTATTTCCCTGTTTGGAAGTTACACAATTGCCGAGTGACATAGGCTATAATTTTTTTTGAAAAAAATTAGCGATCCTTACTAAAACTCCAATAATGTAACCCAAGGCGTAAAAAATTACCCAAAATATTATTTACATCGCGTGCCCTGCGAAAACTATTGATGATAGAATAAAATAATGTACTATGACTTTGTAGAACTATTATAGTTATGCCGCAATAAGTGTTATTTTATTTAAAAAAAATTAAATAACATCAAATATCGTTGAAATTTTTGTTAAAGACCCGAGCGGAGCCAGAGCGTGCCGCTAGTCATTAATAAAACTGATTAAATTGGCATTTGATCTGACATTACGGTGTTGGTGAATATCACGTTCGAAGAATTCCGTTACGTACACACACTAGTTTTTTTTTTATTGCTTAGATCGATGGAAGAGCTCACAGCCCACCTGGTGTTGAGTGGTTACTGGAGCCCATATACACCTACGACGTAAATGCGCCACCTACCTTGAGATATAAGTTCTAAGGTCTCAGTATAGTTACAACGGCTGCCCCGCCCTTTAAACCGAAACGGATTACTGCTTCACGGCAGAAATAGGCAGGGCGGTGGTACCTACTCGTGCGGACTCACAAGACGTCCTACCACCTACTCGTACAGATGTATTAGTTAAGGTTAAGTTTAACACAGGCGAAGCTAATGAAAGCGTGGTAAAAATTTTTTTTAATAATTTAACTTTAACTGGTGGTAGGACTTTTTGTGAATCCGCACGGGTAGGTACCACCACCCTGCCTGCCTATTTCTGCCGTGAAGCAGTATTGCGTTTCGGTTTGAAGGGTGGGGCAGCCGTTGTAACTATACTGAGACATTAGAACTTAAATCTCAAGGTGGGTGGCGCATTTACGTTGTAGATGTCTATGGGCTCCAGTAAACACTTATCATCAGGTGGGATGTGAGGTCATCCACCCATCTAAGCAATAAAAAAATAATTCGCAATATCTGTTTATTGAGCGTAACAGATTTAGTTAAATTTATGTTTACATGATATTATTTTAACAAACTATATCTATCTTAGTTTTTCTAGTTGTGTTTGTATTGTGTGATATTTTTGTGAGCAATATAGATTTTCGGCAGTTCGATTTTAAATTAATATACATATTTATATTATATAATAAATACGTTTGTACATGTCTATGGGCTCCGGTAACCACTTAACATCAGGTGGGCCGTGAGCTCGTTTACCAACCTAAGCAAATAAAAAAAGCTCTCTTATCACTTTAGGTAAGCATACAAATAGTATTCAGCGGAGGCAGCGGAATGTAACTCATTTCCATGAGCCACGATGATCACTCATCATCAGGTTCAGGCTTTATCATCGTTCATTCATCATTCAGGCTGCAGGTTCGTCGAATCCAAGGTAGCTTAGTGGAAGCACCCTCCAGCCTCTCCTTTTCAAAAAAAGCATTCTCCCTTATAGCATTGCCCATGCGATCAACTTACCCAACACAAAGCAAGTGGTCGTAGCAGTGAAGACGGCGCACGCGACCAGCAGGAGGACGTAGGGCCCGAAGATGGCGCGGTCCGTGATCGTGTTCACCACTATGGCGAATATGGAGACCACAGTCGCAGCCACTATAGCTTGAACCTGACGGAACATATACAAGCTTATCATTTTATACCTCACCAGAACTCACAGATACCGGAGCTTGAATGCTTCAACTTGAGAAATCCGATAGAAGTTTAAGATTTGAATAAAAAAAAGTTAAACTGGCGCGGAACAAAAGTAAATGGAGACCAATCATATCTGTTCACGATCTTCAATAGTGAGGAAACTATAAAGAAGATATAGCAGTTCTCCCAACCACTGCGTCAAAACGGATACTGCTTCGTAAAGTAAATAAGCAGAGTGGCTGTACCTACCCGCGCATTGCATTGCGCCTATCACCCTTTTTAAGATCCAGTTTCGGATATCTGGTAATCATGAATGTCGGAACTGACCTGCACCAGTGATATGTTTCCAACGACCATCGAGATGACCTCCTTCGTGGAGTCCATGTTACCCAAATTCGCCTGCGTTGACAGTCGAGATGCGAGACACATGTCCAGGTTACCTTTCGAAGAAAAAAAAGGAATTAGACCTTATATTATGTAGACAATCTCATGGGCCAAACTGTACTGAAGGGTCACTGACCCATGGAAATTATTAATGATGTACTCCTCCAAACAAAAGCCAAGTCTTAAGTGCATTAAAATGAACGATTATCGTTTCATTTAGATTAGATTAACAATTTGTTTTGCATTAATAACAGACCATACTCAAAGACCGGTGAAAATGCTTTAATGTTATTGGGAAGGTAATAGTTCAAATGGCTAGGGCTGCACACCAAGATATGCTTTTCATCTCTCTCATCTCTTTCATCTTTCATCGTTCATCTCTCAAGCGCTAGCAGGTGGCACTGTATTGTCGTAAAATGAAACCCACTGCCAAAACTCAAGATACTGTTATATCATTGCCAAGAAACTTGAAATAATATATAATTTTTTTTTAAGAAGTTAGCACAGTATACAAATATCAAAGTTTTTCCCTACCTATTGGCCTATTAGGTAGGGCTAGTCCAGCTACGCTGTGGCTGGTACGGGGGCTCATAAGCCTCAAACTGAGAGAGAGTTCTAAAACTGGCCTTAGCAAGAGCATTGCTTCGCAGAATCTACCACCGGATCAGAATCGCGATTCACTCAGAAGATCTAGCGAGAAACTCAGTGGGTTTAAGCATCGTTAAACTTCTTTAGTCCATAGAGCATATAGTATTTACATGCCATATCATACTTAAGAACCTTGTCGTCCGTTCTGTGCATTCAAAACATCGGAAATTATAAAAAGAAAATTATAAAACCAGAGATTAAACTGAAAGAGTAGTATTAATCACATGTAAGACTCGGGAAAACCTTAGAAAATACTAAACAGGCTTTTATCATAGCTCATATCACGTAAAGTCTTCCTAAAAGACACATCTGAAGGTAAATATCCGCGTCTTCCATCACTTATCAAAACAATAACATTAATACTATCATGTTTGATCTTGACTTTATGTTATTTAGTTTACGATTTCCAACAGAAATGAAATATCTTGCGATTTGATGGTCACGGCCGATGATAATTACCCGAGTTTATAGATATCACAGGGCAAAAACCGCCACTCATCTTGAGACATGAGGTTCGAGCCTCAATTGTATTGGAGCGATTACTCCGCTTGTCGAAAGGGTAATTAATATGTGATTGTTTCGCGGTTGCAGTAAGGGGTAAAGTGATACCTCCATATGTGGGCTTAAATCATAGTCTCCCACCAATATTTTGGTAAGATAATAAGGGGCTACTATTGAACCACAACGTAAAAATTCAATTCGTTGTATAAAAAGACCGGAGTACCAAACCTGCACCTTCCTAAAACAAAAATCGGTTGTCTGTAAAGTCGGTTTACTCACGATAGTTGAACGTGACAACGTCATAAGAAAATGCTGCTGGAATGGTTTCATTTTTCAAAAGAAAATTTTAATTTTATTTGTTTGATAGATATTTTGTATGGACAATTGACACCACATTCACTTTTCACTGAACTTTATACTTGACGAAAACATGTAAATGTATTATTGTATAGCAGTTGTCGACGTGGATGCATCGCTCACTCAAGTAGGAGAGAGACAGATGTCGAACGCTGCCGAACGCGGAGGCCGATTGTGCCTCTTTGTCGTTCGTTGCGCGCTCTCGCTTGCACTTCAAGCCTTAAGTGGAACGCCTCAATGAGTCATGTTTTTTCGTGCGTGCAGCCGGCTCCACGTTGTCACGTCAAAAATTCAATCAAATTATATAAAGCCTATTTGGAAATCTGATTCTAGCATTTGTATTCCAATTCCAAATTCTCATTCTATATAAAGGACTGATAATAATTAAGTAAAATTAATCACGACTAATAACTGCATAATGATAAACAAAATAGAATTACAACAAGAAAATAAATCCTCATTTATCAGCGAAGGTCAAAATAAAGATGACAGAGTCAAACGACAATGGCAGATAATTATCCTACATTTTAAATAATTGTGTGACAATCTCTAGAGCTATTGAAGTTAATGACATGTGTTTTGTGAGCTAACGATCGTGTGCGGATGTTGACAATTTGACGAAGGTTCAGGGAACAGTGGCTTCTTTACCCAGTAGCTTGGTCTATGTCATGAACCTTGGTTTCGCGAGGAACTGTTATCATTTCCCCATCATACAAATAAGTTTCACCTAATAACCTAATACCTTGCACCGTAATTTGAATCTTTCGATACGAGTTTTATATCATGCTTCTTTTAACCAAGGCGTCATGCTGTCATATAAGTCCAAAGGCAATTAATTACCATTAATACCAAATTACCAAAAAGGCAATTATCATTAATAGGCATCGTAACATGAATCCTATCCAGAGACATCACGTGATATAACTATTTAACTTTATTTCGAGCTGTTTATGACAGTTTTCAGCAGTTATAAAGTAGTTTCGTAGTCCATATACCACCGCCCTGCTTATTTCTGTCGTGAAGCAGTAATGCCTTTCGGTTTGAAGGGCAGGGCAGCCGTTGTAACTACACTTGAGATCTTAGAACTTATATCTCAAGGTGGGTGGCGCATTTACGTTGTAGATGTCTATGGGCTCCAGTAACCACCTAACACCAGGTGGGCTGTGAGCTCGTCAACTCATCTAAGCAATAAAAAAAACCCGTGGAAACTGGTAAATTAATGTTGAAAATCGCAGTGTGCGCCGCAACCCGTTCTCGGGTGAATCCACTGGTCACCTTCCGATATGCAGGGGAGAGTCGAGGTAGTGTTATTTTACTCTGATACAAGCAAGTTGGTTAAACAAAGACTTTAATTTCTTGACGGCAAGCACCTAACCTGTATCAGATATAACTTGTTTAGTTGCTGCTAGAACCAAGATAACCGAGAAAGCCAGTTGGAATGGCCGATGTCCATTAGCAACGACGGCTAATTACGTTAAGGCGGCCTAATAGCTCCTTTGTTGGTAACGCACGAAAAAATGTTTCAATCGACCGTCATCATGGAAACAATATTCGTAATGTCGCATATTGTACTAGCGTCTAGATCAGTGATTCTCAACCTTTTTTTTGTTGCGGCACATATTTAACGATTTCAAAATTTGGCGGCACACAAAAAAAAAAGATAAAAATTATTTACTTACTACAACACACTGCATATTATATAGTTTATCAAAAAATTTTAATATACGAAATAAACTAAAATATATCATAATTTTTTTTTTTGGATTTAAATATATATTCATGTTTAAAATATTTTTCTTTTAAAATGATATAATTTAACGATATTAACATTATTATACCTATATATTCGCAAAATTTGGCGGCACACTTTTGAAATTTGGCGGCACACAAAAGTGCCGCGGAACAGTGTTATAATAGCTTAAAAAATTCTTGAACTCACCCTTTAGTCCTGACAGTGAGGGCACAAGAACGAAAATGGCCGATATGTTTATAAAAACATCCCAATCCTGGAAAATACATACTTTTTATCACACCGGTACTGTAAAGTGACCTAATCAACAATTTTTTGGACATTTTAATTGCGCTTTCGTTTATTCCGTTGGGTGATTATTCTTTATCTAGTATTAAGTGATTACCGTAGGCATTAGATATGACAATGGAAATCCCGCTGCTTTCAACAAGACATGAGATGTAAGTTCCATTGGTATACGGCTGCCTTAATTTTCAGACCGGAATAAAAAATGGCTTTGCGGTAGAAATAATTAGGTAATCAGGGGCTACCGTTGCTTATGGGAATCAGCAATGCCAGAGGGATAGTTTAGACCTTGCCTGTTGCAAAAGTACGATCGATCTTAGCTTAGCTTTTTTAAATGTGTAGGAGGAAATTACCCTAACTGTGCCGAGCACCAAACCAGCTCCGATGGTACCGCAGCCAGCTATAAAGAAGGGTACAGCTACCTGCATCAATGTGGTCCACCATTTTTCTTCTTTTTTCTGTAAATAAAACAAGGATTAGAAAGATTCTAATGAGAACATAGGATGTCTTAGTTGACGATAAACGTGGTGATTTTTATTATATTTTTGGCCTTTGTTAATCTAGAAGTGAAGCGAAGTTGACGGTAAGAAACCTACGAATAAATAATAAGAAAAGAAACAGAAAAAACTCCTCCATATGGCTCGTTGCTGTGGATATATTACTAAAGATATAGTCTAAAGAGGCAAAGGAGGGTTGACATTAGGTAGGCGGCCGTTCGTAAAACTCATGCCAAATCCCTATGCAGCGTAATAAGAAGACGTGCTGCGTCAACTCCGCATAATGTGGGATAAAGACATGAAGGAGAAATTGGTGTTTTAGTCGACGAGGAATCTGAGATATTCTTCCACTAACGAGCTAAAGGGAAGAGCAAAGTTTTGGCGTACAATTGGACGTTACACGTGTGAACTCTTAATGACAAAAGACCCCTATACTTGATGGCAGATTTTACGGGGTGCTAAGATCAAATTATGTTTTCTTTTTTTACTGGTGGTAGGACGTCTTGTGTGTCCGCACGGGTAGGTACCACCACCCTACCTATTTCTGCGGTGAAGCAGTAATGCGTTTCGGTTTGGAGGGTGGGGCAGCCGTTGTAACTATACTGAGACCTTGGAACTTATATCTCAAGGTGGGTGGCGACATTTACGTTGTAATATCTATGGGCCCCAGCAACCACTTCACACCAGATGGGCTGTGAGCTTGTCAATCGGTGTATGCGATAAAAAAACAATAAAATCTATAATTATACCTCGCTATTGTATGGTATCAACATAAAATGCTTCGTAACTACCATACAGCATTTTTTTTAATCGTGATAAAATCAATTGCAATTTATATCAAAGTAATTGTTATGAGTAATGGTATAAGACTTGCAAACAACTACAAAATGATCGATTTAATTAATAATTTAAGAACTGTCATTTTTATCAGGACATCATTTGCATGTAGTGTGTACATTCAAGGATATTTTCTGATTAACAAGCGAATCGTAGTACTTAATTTAGTTGACGCAGATAGGACTGTCTCATCTCTTTTATGGAAATATACGAAAGATCACAGCAAAGCATAGATGCGTGGAAAGAAGAATTCTCCATTTATCTCACCAGCTGTTTTAATCGCATCAGATGATGATGTTTTAAGGCACCGCTGGTCCAGAACCCTTACCACTAAGTTAAGACGGGTGAGCTAGTCTGGTTTTTGTCAAACATCTTTATTCTTTTTTTTATGAAAAAGGGATTACTGGTGGCTTGGAAGGCCTTTCCATTTTCACCAGGAGAGGTGGGCGAGCAAAGGCTCAGCCAGGAGGGGTGAAATTTGCTAACAGCTACCCGAGCGCCTCCAAAGGAGACCTAACAACTCAAGAGAAACCGCTTTGCTAATGAATCTACTACCGGATCGGAATCGTGACACGCTTAGAAGATCCGGCGAGAAACTCAGGGAGCTAATGCATGGGTTAGGTTGCACGTCGAACTTTTTGCCGAGTTCCACGAGTACAGTTACTGAGGTCCCTAAGCCTGCTCCTAGCGTTAATGCTGAAGGCGTCTAGCGCAAGAGTTATTGGATCTGGTGGATTCGTAGAGACATGTCTAGGACGTCGACGGTGACTGGCTCCTGCGTGATCAGGAGGGGAGTAGTCAGCGGTGGCAACGATAAGTCGATTAGCAAGAAGCATTGCCTTATCGGAGTACCGTTCCAACGTTGACTTCATGTGTTTGTGGATCGATTCGAGGCCCAGGTCATCGTGTAGGTCGACGTTTTTCACGAACCATGGAGCTCCGATGGCTAACCTGCATAAACGGGATTGTAGGGACGGTGACTATGTGTGTTCGGGCCGCATGAGCGAATACCACACTCGCGTAAGTCATAACGGGCTTTATGCAAGTTTTGTAAGGTGTCCCCTTGTTCCGAAGGGACATTTTACTCCGCTTATAGATCATGGGGTATAGTCTGCCGAATACAAACGCGGCGCGGTCACGGTGTTGGTGTCTATGCGCCATTTTCGGAACCACTCATAAGGTTACGACTGTGCTCTGGAGTTTCCTCGCGATTAGGGACTTGTTTCTACTCGAGTAGTAAGCGGTCGTCGACGAATAGGGCTAACTGAGTCAGTGGCGACCGGGGAATGTCGTTAATAAATAAACTAAACAGGAGCGACGAGAGGACGGAGCCTTGCGGGACTCCAGCCGTTAGCGGTCGCGGGGAGGATCGGGTTCCTTCGACTCGATATCGAAAAGAACGGTTCGACAAGAAGTCCCGTATGATCAGCACGAGATTGTCCGGCACGCCTATGTTGAAAAGCTTGAAAATCAAATCGTTGTGCCAGAATTTTTCGAACGGCTTTGCGACGTCGAAGAAGAGAGCTCCCGTATATAACGGTTTGGTCGGTTAATCCTTACGAGAATGTGCTCCGTGAGCCGGTGCACCTGTTGTACGCAGGTTTGCGCGGAATCCGAATCGTTCATCGATAAGAGTGCCCCTGGATGAGACGAGGTCTCTGAGGCTTTTGTGTAGGGCAGACGCTCGTACAGTTTGCCTAGAGACATCAGGAAGTTAATCGGGCAGTATCTTCTATTCTATGATAGCTACACCTACATATATACGCCCTACCGCCAGTAATTTCGCTTATTCTGTTAAAACTTTGTTTTTTTTAGGATTGAAGGATTGGATTTTAGGATTGGTGGCCCGTAGGCCTTTCCAGTTTCACCAGGACAGGTAAAAACTTTGTACTATCTATTACAAACTATTAAGCCGATGTACGGTTGTAAGGCTTATTAATGAAATAACCTCCAAACTTCTGCCGCGGACCATCAATTACTTCTATGGTGAATTCTGAATGGTAGCACAATCCACTCGTTTGGAATCGAACCTCAGTTTTGCCAACGTCAACGTTCAACTTGACTTTTAGGCATTGCCATCGTATGATAGCCAGAGCCCAGTGTATACTGGGCTCTAGAATTAACTACATTTCGATACCATGACTTGTCCTTCATGAAGTGCAATTGGAAAAAAAAAACTTCATGTACTAGTCAATAGTCTTGTACATTCTAGTTACACCTTTGCCTTAAGATTAGCATCTGTCTTGGCTATTGTCTCTTCTTTCTTAACTTGTTCAACATTTAGATCTACATCCCGACTTATTATGTTACCTACATATATAAAGACACGTATATTGTATAGTTAGTTGCTAGATTAAAAAACATTGACAATTTGATTGTACTATTCAATTATTTCATTCTCAAATCGTAATCCCAGTGACAAGTGAAGTGATTATGACGTCATCAAGATTATTTCGTTTTACGTTAACAATGAGATAGTGACATCACAGGTGCGTAATCTCGATAAGAAAATGGTACGAGTTTAATTGATTTTATCGCAATTATGTACTTTCAGTTACTTCGTTATGTTTGAGAGCTTATTTATTTTAAAATCGATAGAATCTAATGTCAGATGCCTTGTGGTTTTTCGAGGCTTAGTCTCAGAATTATCATTTAAATATGTTTGTATTAAGTTATATAGACAAAAATACATACATTAACCTTGAAATTTCTATTTTTAACCGTCTTAGCCGATTCAGAAACGTTACGGTTTGTATCAAAATAAGTTACTATGAACAACTAGTCTGACTTGTTTCTGTAGAGTTAGATATCAGAGCTTATCCATGTTTAAAATGCATTTCTAACCAATCCGGTTACTTTGCCTACTATTTAATATGAAAATATTTTTTCTAATCGACACAAATGTTATTAAATATAAAAATAAAATAGTAAAAGATAGGTCTGTGTACTTTATTTTTTCAATTTCTCAACAACGATAATTATTATTTTTAATACTTTTCATTAACATTAATTTTTAATAGTAAAAGCTCTAGCAACGCCAAAGTGAAAAAGTAATACATACATTGAATTAAAATCTTGAGAGATTAGTAATTAAGGTCGAATATCAAACACAAAAAAATTAGTGATTTTGTTGGTAAAATTCTGTCTTTTAAAATGTAAATATGTCCGATTGTATAGGCAGTTCCTATTGTGAGTTCTACGGGTATGTACTATCTTGCATCTTGTCTGGACGAGCTCACAGCCCACCTGGTGTTAGTGGTAACCGGAACCCACTGACATCTACCACGTAAATGCCGCCACCCACCTCAAGATATGAGTTGTAAGGTCCTAGTTTTAATAGTACAACGGCTGCCTCACTCTTCAAACCGAAACGCATTACTGCTTCACGGCAGAAATAGGCAGGGCGGTGGTACCTACCCGTGCGGACTCACAAGCCCTACCACCAGTAATTACGTAAATTATAATTTTGCGGGTTTGATATTTATTACACGATGTTGTTATTCCTTCACCGTGGAAGTCAATCGTGAACATTTGTTTGAAAGGGACTCGAACATCCGTACATCGCTCGACACGAATGCACCGGGCATCTTATCCTTTAGGCCACGAAGACTACAAAGTTTTTCCGCTCATTTAAATAATTAAACACGAATTCTTGAAACAAGGGCAAATAAAAAATGTTAAATAAAGTCACGATTGGTGTGAAACAATGGTGATTCCGTCTTTCAGATCAGAAAAAAAGCAATTGATTTGTGGCTTATGGTAAATAGGCAAGTAGTACCAGGCCATGCCCGACACGCCCTACCGTTATTATTCCAAGTTATTATACGACTAGCTTTTGCCCTTGTCTCCGTCCGCGTGGAATAGTTACGTTGGCATAACACTAAATTTTACCCTCAATTACCCACTTACGTACAAATATTTTTGAATTATAGAATGTTAAGGAGCTATTTAAACCCTATTTTGAAACATTCTTTATTGGTGTTACACTTGTATTGGCCTTACCGCGATGTTATATAGCTTATAGCCTTCCTCAATAAATGGGTTATCTAACACTGAAAGAATTTTTCAAATCAGACTAGTAGTTCCTGAGATTAGCGCGCTCAAACAAACAGACTCTTCAGCTTTATAATATTAGTATATATATTTATTTACTGGTACTAACGCAACAGATAACCTAAATCCACTTTGAAATATTTGTTCAAATACTTAGGGACAAAGGGCCAATTGGTTAAGTAGGTTCAAACATTAGTACAATGACTTGGCAATGGATAGATTAATGAATACCTCGTTCGTTTATTGAATTATGACTATAGGATCCGGATTTGATTCCCGGTTGTAGGCAGTAAGTTGGTTAAGGATTTTGTGAATACAAGGGCGAAAGGTCGAGGGTTCTTGTATGTGTCGTAACTCATCAGAAAATTGTAATTGTTGACGCAGAAAGTGGGAAAAATTGAAGACTGAGTGGATGAAGGAGATATGATACAATTTGTTAATTTTGAGAAAACGAGCAACAAACTTTTGTTACTTATTATTTTTTATTATTATGCGTTTTTGGCGGTGTAGGAATACGACAAAGGGAAGATCTTCCACCGAGCAGGTGATATTGCTCGGTAGACCGACGGTCCGAATGTTGTTGTTCGGAACTTGTATATATGCGTCTTATCTTGAAAATGTCGTAAGCGAGATTCAGGCATCTGTCAATTATCTTGCGTTGAATGATGGCTACCCGCCACAGCGGTATATTTTAATCTGCAGCGCAGATTTTAAGACTTAAAATAACCCGAAATGGGCACGTATTTATAGTTTGACTAGTCGCAGGACGTGTAGTGATTATTATATCACCATCGGTTGGAGTGGTATAGTAGTGAGTGAGCGAAGAAATGGTTTAAGATAGAGGAGTATGAGAGGAGAAAACAGGGGTAGGAGAATGATGACGATGATGATGATCGTTTAAGTGGCATCACCGCTTAAGTTCCAGTTCCCGTTGATATCTATAGATGAGCAACTACACGAAGAACTGTTTGTTCATCGACATCAAGAAAGCAACGTGATTCAGACACTAAAATGAATCATTTTGAAACCGATAGAATTAAAGGAATTACAACCTCTGCGTTTTAATAATGCACCTGTTCTGAATCTTAATACGATATGAATCTTAATACGGATAATTGATTAATTACAATGATAACGACTAGAATGAATGATCGTCCCAATGATCGTTATCGTGATACTCATTTCGCAGCTTATTGCTATCACCAATTAAAATTCTGTAATAACTTGGTCTGTCAGTTCGTTGCTTAATTAGTTGTGCTAAAAACTGTATGTTTGCGTGTCAATTGTGTGCAACTTAAGACCATGTACACTAGATACGTTAGAGGTTAGAATTAGCATGTCTTTCTCTTCCTAACTATTTATCTTACACGGTGGTGGGGTCAGCTTTCCTTATACTACTACTCCACTTCGTCTGTCTTCGACATCCTCATCAGCAACGTTGGATGACCTTGTGTCTTTCAGCACTACATCTTTCCACTTCGTCTTGGATCTACCTCTAGGTCTCCGACCGTGGAGGTTGAGTGGTAGCGTCAAATTTCCGACGTAGTCAGGTGGCCTTGTTTTTACATGACCATACCATCTCAGTCCACTGCATCTCTCTCTCTCCCATCTACTCTCCTGCATCTTGTCAGCGATATCACGTACCCCGAGGCTTTCACGCACGTACTGGTTGCGGATTTTATCGAGCCTGGTCACGCCGCACATCCACTTTAGCATCTTCATTTCAGCAACTTGAATGGTATGCATGCCCCTTTGGGTTGTCGCCCATACATAAGAACTGGCCTTATTATGGTCTTAAAGATCCCTTGAGTTTGAATTTAAGATCCCTTGCCGTTTGTGAGCTGTGTAGCAGCTTGAGAAGGGTTCAGTAGCTGTTGATAATATGGATGCCAGGCTGATAGGACATCCTTATCCTTGTACAGTTGGTCATCTTTTTTTTTTTAACATTCCCACATCTAGCGGGATCCTTGTGCTGCGATAACACTGTTTAGCGACCTTTTTTTTTTTTTTTATTCCCTTTGTAGGCAGACGAGCTCACGGCCCACCCGATGGTAAGTGGTTACCGTCGCCCATGGACTTCAGCAATGCCAGGAGCAGAGCCAAGCCGCTGCCTACTGCTTAATACTCTCCACAAGCCTCGTTTGAAGAAGGACATGTCATAGCGCTCGGAAAACACCGTGGAGGGGAGCTCATTCCATAGCCGGATGGTACGTGGCAAAAAAGACCTCTGGAAACGCACTGTGGATGACCGCAGTGGCTCCAGGTAGTATGGATGAACTCTACTCCGGTGGCGGGCGGTACGATGGTAAAAACGAGACGTTGGCATCATCTCGAACAATTCCTCAGAGCACTCTCCATGGAACTCCCCATGGAGCTTATATATACATTTTTGACTTTCATTTGTTTCCAGTTGCTCGTAAATGGTCTTTAGGGAATCTGCGCGCTCCATTTCTGCTATTTTCTTAATCTCCTTCTTTATTCTTGGTTCCTTGGTTACAATTAGCATATCAATTGAAATATTATATTTTTATATTTATTTATTGCTTAGATGGGTGGACGACCTCACAGCCTACCCGGTGTTCCCTGACCCCCGAATTCTTCGTTCACACCGCAAATAGTAAAGCTGTAAAGGAGTCGGCCGGCAACATCTTCCGGGACTTATCTAAGCCAGTGAACACATTAATCAAGCTCTTAGACCTTGTCTGGTAGCGAATTTGAATTTCAAGTGTGCATGTGTCAAAACAAATATGATTGCATGATAAGTAGCCGTTTTTTTTTGAAATTTCCAAAACATTAAATTGAAATCGTTAGACCGGAATTTTCACTTATCAAAAACACACGAAATATTTCAAGTGTCTTTTATGTTTTGATGTTGTGATAAGTGCGGGATATTATGTATTTATTGGTTTGGTTACGATTATTTCATACAACCAAAATGCAACATATAGGTATACACCTATAAATTATATATTGTATTATTGTACAACAGTTAGTCTGGCATATTATTTAATGCTTCAAATCATATATTAATATAGCGTAATAGCTAATAGTATTGAAATAATTTAATGTTTATTGCATAATTTATAATATTGTGTACAAACTCAGCACATTTGTCTTGTTTAGTCGTGGCATATGGCTTATGTTACAAGCCAGTTTTAATAAACTATTGCATAGCTTTTATCGCGGGCTTTGAGCGCGGCGACCGAATCAAGAAATTCCATAACGAAAATAAAACCTAACACCCCCACTCCGCCTACCATGTAGCTCGCGTTCAGCACATTCACACGTTGCGCTTGTGTAGTGTTAGTGATTTGTGAATAAGTGCGTGGCGTGACGTCGCACTGCACGCGCATAATGACAAGTTTGCCCATCTCTCTCTCGCGCGGTTTAGCTTATGAGTGTGAAGGGGACAGTTATTCTTTTGCTTTTGTTAATGTTTATAAATATAGCGTGGTCTTATTTTATTATTGTTTTTTATTATTATTATTTAATTATATTTAATAATAATTATTATTGTCTAATTATAATTGCATAAGTTGATCAAAAATGCTATGCAATAGCATTACCGCGGCAGTCCCCAAGTGCCACACGTGTTTTTTTTTTTTTTGGTTTTTTTTGTATCTTTTTAGTTTGTAATGTGTATTGTATGCCTTATAAATAAACTAGCAATATCAGTCCGCTTCTCTGGGCATTTAAAATTAACATTATTATCGAGAGATAATAATGTTAATTTTAAATGTGAGAGGGGTGAGAACCCCCACAAAGATTCTCATCATTAACACCCCCGCAATTGGTGTAGGGAGTCCAGCACTCACATAAATACTAGCCTATCCATTAAGTACATGTATTTTCTACATGGATACCAGGTTTCAAGTCAATCGGATGGTTCAGTAGCTATAACGAAACATCCGTAAAAACTACTGTAGATTTATATATTAGTATAGATAAATAAAAAATACGTCGTCCATTGCGGCTTGGGTCGCTAGCTGATGACCGTAAGCCACGATGACCTCTGTCGGTCAGCTCACGTTTGCGTAATTAGAAAACTGCAGTATTGAGTAAATACATAAGAATTGAGTATATACAGTGCAAGAGATACATAGCACAAACTGAGATTTTTCTGCAGCGAAGTATTGGATGGATATTTAAATCGTTAATTAATGAACGAATAACATAACCTTTTTTAAAAGTAACGGAATAGAATATTAATAATCAGTGGACGACCATCAAGATGGACGACAATCAACGACCCAGCTTATCTACGGCGCTAATGTGAGGTTATTCACCCCGGAGTTTTTCACGCGTTACAATGCGGGCTCACAAAATCTTAACAAGGGACGTGTTAACAAGTGTACGGTATTTATTCTTAACACTGCACGAATAGATTTATAAAATTTAACCATTTCAGGAGATTTTCATTTACAATAGAGAAAGAGAATAAAGAATGGTGTTCGGTCTAATTCGGTAAGTCTCGAGCAAAGATAGTCACTCGCTCCATAGTAGATCTTTTACGTGTGTGAATCAATCTAGATCCATTATCTTGGTTGTAGTCCACGAACCTGACTATTGTATGTACTCACGAGAAAATTCTTTGGAATCTTTAACTGTGTAACGTTTATTGCCACGTTTTCTTGAAACTTGGTCACTCACCCCGGAAAGCGGTTGTTTTTCAGCGTCGGTATCCGGGATCTTTTTCTCTGGGTCCCCGGGACTCTTCAATTCCCCGCAGCTGTTTATCGACGCCATGCTGTAGTGGTTATCAGGGATACCTGTCTCATCTGTAACAAAGTTGACAGTCTGTTAAAGTGGATGAAACGGTTTGGATTTTTGTTATTGCTAACTTTCGCACGTAGAGAGGCAAAATTATCTAAGATATAGAGAAGAATCACCGGTCCGCTGATGTTAGCTGCTTATCGGAGTCCATAGACCACAACATGAATTGGAATAAGATTGAAGCCTTAATTGTAGTGACACAATAGCCTTCGAATCTAAAACGCTTTGCTTTATGGCCAAAATAGAGAAAATCGTTCCAACCACGCGACAAAGCATGCGAAAAGTCTTTACTATCAGGATTCTGAGAGAGTTGGTGACTTAGCACTTCAAAGAATGTTCTTATAGAATCTCTTCAAGATTATCCTTCAATTAAATCAGATCGATTTCCCTTTGCTAATTTATTTTGTGGAAATTTTTTTCTATCCTTATTTGATATCGTATATCATGGCAAACAAAATGATTATATTATTGGAAGGATTGTAAACGTGGATTTACAATCCCCCCTTTTCGAAATTGTGATATTTCGCCTTCTAAAAAGTGCAAAGCAGAAATATGTATTTTACCCGTTTTACTGGTGGTAGAATGTCTCGTAACTCCGCACTGGTAGGTACCACCACCCTGCCTATTTCTGCCGTGAAGCAGTAATGCATTTCGGTTTGAAGGGGGGAGCAGCTTCTATACTATACTGAGACCTTAGAACTCATATCTCTCAAGGTGGGCGGCGGCATTTACGTTGTATGTAGATCTCTAAAAAAATATATATGAACGAATACGATTTCCGAAAAGCCGGTCATTCGCGAAATTTCTCATAAACCGAACCAAGGCTCCGCGGTTCTGACGCGTACATTGTGTTAGAACCTTGGATTCAGTCACGGTTGACTTTCTCAGTGGTCTTGGCATGCAGTGCCGAAGAATTGAGAAATACTTTTTAAGGTCGCGGCTTGTCCGTTGTGGTCTGAGCAGAGACATGGGCATTTTGCGGGTTTCATTAACCTGTGTCGTATAATTTTATTGGATACTAGCGACTCGCTCCGGCTCCGCTCGGGTTTTTAACAAAAAAAATCAACGATATTTGACGTTGTTTTATTTTTTTAAATAAGTGAACACTTATTGCGGCATTAGACATATGCTGTCGCGACACTTTTGTGTGTTCTACAAAGTCGTAGTAAATTATTTTATTCTACCATCAATAGTTTTCGCAGGGCACGCGATGTAAAGAATATTTTAGGTAATTTTTTTACACCTTGGGTTAGTTACATTATTGGAGTTTTAGTAAAGATCCTAAATTTTTTTCAAAAAAGATTATAGCCTATGTCACTCGGGGGTAGTGTAGCTTCCAAACAGTGAAAGAATTTTTCAAATCGGTTCAGTAGTTTCGGAGCCTATTCAATACAAACAAACAAACAAATCTTTCCTCTTTATAATATTACTAGCGACCCGCCCTCGCTTCGCTTCGGAAACATTAAAACACACATGACCACAAAAAAAAAATTAAAAAAATAAAAAAAAAGTAGCCTATGTTCATCAGGGACAATGTCGGCTTCTAATGGAAAAAGAATTTTTCAAATCGGTCCAGTAGTTTCGGAGCCTATTCGAAACAAACAAACAAACAAATCTTTCCTCTTTATAATATTAGTATAGATTATAGTATAGAAGTATAGAATTGATAGTCGTTTCTTTGTGAGACATATCGATGTAGGTAGTCACGGGTGCGACAGAAGTCAACTTGCAACATTTCAAAGTTTATTACGTGAATAAGATGTCGCCATGTCGTGGGAAACGAGTTATTTTGTCAAAATGGTATTACCTCAAATGTACGGTTTATTAATCGCTTAGTATCTGTGATATAGAGAAATGCAACAAATTCCAAACAGGTCATTTAAGTCTCAATAAGTTTATCCTTTATCCATTGTGTAAAATTGTAATTAAGTTTCGTTAAAAGTTTCAATTACGAATTAGTTAATTTACGTTGCTGATGTATATGGGCTCCGGTAATCATTTAACTTTAAGTGGGCCGTGAGCTCGCCCAATCATCTAAGCTGTAAAAAAAAAAAACGTATTGTTTCGCGTTGAAGACAGCATAGTGGTACTTCCCAAGCGGGCTAACAACACACTACATGCAAACTCCGCAAACTACATTTTTACGGGCTTTATTTGATCAAAAATAATATCTGTATTTATTTATTTATTTATTTATTTATAACTTCTTATACTAGAAAGTATAAAGGCGGACTTAATGCTATAGGCATTCTCTAACATGCGACGAAGGGCTCGACGAGTAAATTAACTCTCAGACACAGCCCACTGAGTTTCTCGCCGGATCTTCTCAGTGGGTCGCGTTTCCGATCCGGTGGTAGATTCTGCGAAGCACGGCTCTTGCTAGGGTTCGTGTTAGCATCGTCGTCAGATTTGAGCCCCGTGAGCTCACCTACTAGCCACAGTTACGCTGAGATAGCTTCTCAAGCCTATCAGCTTAGGCAGGAAAAAAAAAACGGTCATGTGTTCCACGCGTCTTTTAATGATCGTAGTATGAAACACAATAATATCCTTCAATTGTCACACAATGACGGAGAAAATATTTTATTCAGACTTAATTGTATATTATTATATTGTAAATATGTATTTTTTTTAATTAAATGAAGCTAGCAGCCAAATAAGCTTAAAATTGCCTTTTAAATCAATATTTTTTTTAAATAATTTTCCTATATATTGACAAAAACGCAAACAGAATGATACGCGAGCCAGATTAATTGTTAGGAGTCTCTAAGTAAGACGGCCCGTGGTCCATCAATCGTCCGAACTGAGATTTTAATTGTTAACTAAACAAAGAAAATTTATTACACTTTCTCACGGATAAGTACAGTCTACATTCTACTTGGAAATACAAAAAATCAAGTATATGAACAATGCACTCACCGGAATGCTACAGAACGATGACTATTTCAATAATTAATTGTAATACAGCACCATCTAAATATAGAGGTTGTTATCAAATAATGCAGGCTTTGCTTGAATAATCACCCCGGTTATCGCAAAGTATCTGATTGGTAGTTAGGTTTATCGAATTAAAAACAAAAAAAAGAAAATTTCGAGTTTCTATAAATAAATATCATTGGAAGCAACAATGAGTTCTTTATCTACACATTTAAAATGAAAATCGCAGCTTTAACGTTTGGATTTTTGTTTTCTTTTGTAAAACAACACCTGAAGCTTTAATTTTTTTCATTAAAACTGTTTAAGCTCACCCCTTCAATAATTCGATAAGTAACTTTTAAAGTATTTGATTACCTAGATGGGTGGACGAGCTCACAGCCCAACTTGTGTTAAATGGTTACTGGAGCCCATAGATATCTATAACGCAAATGCGCCAGCCACTTAGAAGTATAAGTTCTAAGGTCTCAGTATAGTTACAACGGCTGCCCCACCCTTCAAACCGAAACGCATTACCGCTTCACGGCAGAAATAGGCGGAGTGATTGTACCGACCCGCGCGGACTCGCAAGAGGTCCTACCATCAGTGATTACGCAAATTATAATTTTGCGGATTTGATTTTTATTACACGATGTTATTCCTTCACCGTGGAAGTCAATCGTGAACATATGTTAAGTACGTATTTTATTAGAAAAATTGGTACCCGCCTGGGATTCGAAGACTGGTGCATCGCTCAAGATGAATGTTTGATATTAATTGAAGTTCTCGTGATAAATATTCTAGAATAGATTCAAAGACCACGGTTGAGATGTAAGAACGAAGAACGGAACGTTTTGTGATAGCCACTTAAAGCCTATAGGGGTTTCATTTTTAAATGAGGGGTTACTGATGGTCCGGAGGCTTTTCCAGTTTCACCAGGACAGGTGGGCGAGCAAAGGCTCAGCCAGGAGGGGTGGGATTTGCTAAGAGCTACCCGAGCGCCTCCAAAGGAGACCTAACAACGCAAGAGCAATTGTTTCGCGAATGAATCTACTACCGGATCGGAATCGCGACCCGCTGAGAAGATCCGACGAGAAACTCAGCGAGCTGATGCATGGGCTAGATTGCACGTCGAACTCTTTGTCGAGTTCGACGAGTAGGATTATCTATTGGGACTGTTTGCTAGGGCATCATAGATGGGAAGAATCTAATAAGATTGAGTATCACAAAGAAAAGTGACAATGAGTGTGTCATGACGTCATTTTCGTTGCGGTAATGGAGTGCGAGGGAGATAGCAAGTTTTTTTTTATACACCCACTTTTCTTTATTTTATTTAAGTTATTAGTTCCTGCGCAACTATACACTAATTTAAAAAAAAACATTATTAAAATTGAAAATAAAACCACATAATCGTATTACAAATTATTGAGACAACCAGAATTGTAAGAAATCGATTTATAAAATTCTAACCCACAAATTAATATTCGACGATGAGACGTGTATTAAAGAATGTATAAATAAACATTAAAAAAATCTTACCTATAACAGTGTAGCCTTGATATTTGTTCCAATATTTATCTATAAAGAATTCTAGATGCGCCATTTTCGACAATTCACTATTTAACGATATGAAATACGGGAATTATTTAAAGCACTGCTCGCGCCTCAAAATCGAGTGAACGAATAACTCTGCTTCAAAAAAAGTTTAAAGTGAACCAGGAAATTGCAGGCTTCCTCGTTAAGAAACGTTTTAAGGCTTTTTACTTTGCGAATCAGTTTCTCGTGATATTTTAACAAAAGATAACGTAAGATAACATTACGAAACCGACATTCACAAAGTACCGAAATACTGCACAGAGAATGCTATATTTTTACATTTTTAACAGCGATCTATCTTGGTTCGTTTTTAAATTATTTTAATTGACCGACGGCTATACGATCCGAATGCCTTTACGCGAATGAACTTCAACGCCTCTTGATGTATGTCAAATGTAAATAATATCAGGTTATCAGCGCCTAATAGGGATGTTTGTTTGGTGTTTAGGAAAATTACTATTCTTTGGTCACATTGTTTAATCTGTATTTCCGGTAAATATCATTAATAGTTTTAGATAAGCACACGAGCTAACTGTCCACCTGATATCTTTTGTGGTTTCTTTTTATGAGGTCCGGTGGCCTTTCCAGTTTCGCCATGACAGGTGGGCGAGCAAAGGTTCAGCCAGGAGGGGTGAGATTTGCTAACAGCTACCCGAGCACCTCTGAAGGAGACCTAACAACTCAAGAGCAACTGCTTCGCGAATGAATCTACTACCGGATCGGAATCGCGACCCGCCGAGAATATCCGGCAAGAAACGTAATATAAAAAGTATAGGTTAAGTTGTACGTCAAATTCTTTGCCGAGTTCGACGACTACGGTTCCATTGTGTGGTTATCAAACTCCATAGACTTGCAGTCATCGTGGCCTAGCGGCTTAAACGCCTGATACACGGACGCTTTATCTACATTAAACGATCCTCCCACCTACCAAACCCATACGGATTATCACTTCGGCCAATGAATCTTTGACATTGTATCATTTGTATAAATAAAATATCAAAGATACCTGACGCAGCGCGTGTATGTCACGAGCCTAAACCCTAAGATTACAAGGTCGTTCGGTTTTCAATAATTAATTTTCAACTACCCTCGATCTGATCGACGAGGTGGACTGACCAGATAAAAGTGGCAGCGAATAGCTCATCATCATTACACGAAAGCTCCAGGAGGGCGGCCGTCAGAGTGGAGTGGTGACAAGTGGCCACCAACGCCTGAAGTGATGACCACGACTACTTCGTCAAGAGCGATACCAACTAGGATGAAGAAGAACCCTCGATTTAGGACGATGTCCATTAAAATACCACATAGATGTTTCAACTTTTTTATTTTCAGTATCGGCTTCTTGCGAAGCCACTGTTGTTACTGTCGCTGTTAATAAAAGCTTCAATTATCTATACATATAAATAAAATGGGAGTGTCTGTTTGTAATATTGAAATAACCGCTTTTTACTACATTCATATGAATAATAATATATATACGGTACATACACCAAAATAACATTTTTTACAATTTTTGTCTGTCTGTCTGTTTGTTCCGGCTAATCTCCGGAGCGGCTGGTCCGATTTTGACGGGACTTTCACTGATAGGTAGCTGATGATATAAGGAGTAACTTAGGCTACTTTTTTTTAGCAATCCCAGGTTTACCCTGATTAGTACTCTGGGTTACGAGCACTTCAAAATAGTAATAGTAGGTTAAGTAGTGTAATTGTTTAATGTATATTCTGAGTAAATTTTGATCTTACATTATAAGTTAGATTAGTTTTCGTTATCGTGTTGTTCTGTCGTATAGTTGTAAGGACCATTGTATACAAATTCAGCACATTTGTCTTGATTAGTCGTGCGCACATGGCTTATGTTGCAAACCAGATTTTGATATATTTTTTTAATTTTTTATGTATATTTTTAGCTTCTGATGTGTATTGTACAAAAAAAAAACGTATAGGGTGCATATCTTTTGGATCCGGGAAAGCATTGACTGAATTTTGGGAAATATAGTGTCGCGACGTAGGTACGGCCATTTTTACCAACAACGCGCCTAAATTAAAATATAACTTCAAACACCAGATTCACGATTGCTATTAGAAAATCTCTCAAGGCCAATTAATTGTTAAAGTCGACCCTCCAATTTGGTGAAGTTCTCCTTACTAGCACAAAACGGTCAAAGATCTTTGTATTATTAGATCCTTATTCATTTCGATCATACTTGTAGTTAGAAACCTTGAAATATTTCCTATGTATATACGGACATGTATTTAGCGCCTTGCATTGCAATCCACGTTGGTTTTATTTAAGCAGTCTCATAGTCAGAATAGAACTTCACTACAATCAATTGGATATGAGCGGGAAGATACAAGATTTGTCTTCGCGTAATTAGCGAGTGCACTTTAGTAACGAGCAACTTTTTTTTCCTACCTAATCGCGGGTAGCCTAAGGCGCTATTCCAACTACGCCCGGACGGGTAGGTGAGCTCACGGGCACCGTACAGAGCCATACTACGCACCGCCCCCAGGTACAGTCGCCGGATACCGGCGCTGCATCCACCGGTGTTGGGGAGAAGACGGGTCAGCGCACCCGCCGTCCCATCAGCCTTGGAACCAGCATTTTGAAATGGTGGTCGAATCTCCATTTGCTGTCCAAAACAAGGCCCAAATACTTGAGCTTCGGCTGGACAGCAATGGTGACACCCCCGACTACGAGATTCGCGCTTTGAGGCGGCCCCTCCCGAGCCGAGTGGAAGCACACTGCTTCGGATTTATGAAGGGCCACCTCGAGGCCGAGTCTCTTTATTCGACTCACCACAACGGGCTCGACTTGAGAGAATTTGCTAACAGTAGCCCTAACAAGAACAGTGCTTCGCAGAATCTACCACCGGATCGGAATCGCGACTCACTGAGAAGATCCGGCGAGAAACTCAGTGGGCTGTGTCTATGGGTTAGTTCGCTCAACGAACTCTTCGTCGTGGTCTACCGAGCAATATCACTCGTTCGATGGAAGATATTTCCTTTGTCTTTACTTCCAAAGTGGTACCAAAATTCTGTCCATATCCTACTGTGTCCTAATTCTGACTTGAATAGACTTGATACTAGACTAGACAATAGACTAGAACTTGATAGAACAGCCATCATATAAAACAATCCAATTTGAATTTACGTTAGATGCTCGTTTGCTCTCAACACAAACAAAGTCTTTCTCACTTTTTTAAGTCCATTCAAAAATACTGTCGCCCCTGTAAGCGTGCCTCATAAATATTAACAATATGACCGTGTTTATCTGTACGTTGGAACCATTAGCGATACAACCAACATTAAACAATAACAAAGTAATAATTATTTTCTAATTATCGCGGACGATAATAAATCGTGTTTATAAATGTCAAAACTGATGTATATATGACTGACGTATATGTACTGAAGAGGTTTTACGAGATGAAATTATCTCATTGTCTCGGTGTTTCTCGTGCGGTCACCGCATCCTTCTTCAAGTGAGGATTGAAAAGAGTTATGTGCTCCAGCTGGATGGTTTTAAAATTTTATAGCTATTTAAGATAAGATGGACCTCGAGGTCGATCTACCCATCCACTGCAATGCAAAAGCCCCTTAAACCAAAACCCATGAGTATTTTCAAGAATAAATGATTTACAAGATGGGCTGGTGGTACCAGCCGTGTGGACTGATTTTTTTTATTGCCCCTGTTGGCAGACGTGCATACCTGATGGTAACCGTCGCCCATGGACTTCAGCAATGACAGTGGTAGAGCCAAGCTGCCTAATGTATACGCACGACTAACATAACCTAAGAAAGGTTATGTATTTTGCCAATCACTTTACCAAGAATATGCTTTTTTTTTTCGGGCCAGGTTAACTCTGTCTAGCCTTTTTTTTTTTTTTTTTTTTTNTCAGCCGACGGAGATACGCAGGGACGCCGTGATACTCCAGCGCCCCTGCGATCACCGACCAGGGCAAGGTGTTGAACGCGTTGGCGATGTCAAGAGACACCGCCAGTGCAACCCCGCCCCGGCCGACAGCCTCATCAGAGAGGGCACGCACGCGCATCACCGCGTCGATGGTCGAGCGGCCCTCCCTGAATCCAAACTGCTCCGCTGAAACTCTGTCTAGCCTACATTAAGAAGCAAACCGCTAATATGTTTTTGATCACTATTAGGTTCCATAAATAGTTACTGTATGTTATTGACAGTGCCTGATAATGAATCAGATTTTATCATTTACGTCGGAACAATAACGCGTGTACGGTCTGACTTTCTCTTTACACGGATTCGCGGAGGCTGCGATAGTACTTTTTGCGATAATCTGTTTGTATCAGTCACCCTGTAAAGCTCCATCGGGCGAAATTTGACTCTCAAATCGCCGAGACAGAACCCAAAAAGCCACGTCATCTGAAGCTACTTCCTTCATTAACAGTCTGTTTCAGAAAATCACTTTGCTTGGCTCTTGAATGATCTTCTCTTTACAGTGCTCCCAGAACCCTGAATCACGTGCTTCTTCTTAAAAAACAATTGGCCACAACGGTCATCTGGCTTCAAACTAGGATTCCAACGTACCACCAATATAAAATAGGTCGTGAGGTCGATTATGCGTCATTGCAATAAGAAATATACTATTAATGTAGAATTGGGTGTTTGCACTTGTATTGTTATCTTCTCAAAACTTCTGTATTACGATAATTAAAAATTATCTGTCACCTTTTTTATGCCTTTCTCATTTAATCCGTCGTCGCCATCTTCCATTTTTCTGTCATTCTGTCTGTCATTCTCTTTTCCCTTTCTTACCGTTTTCTCTCACTCACATCTTAATGTTTCGTTTCACACTCTTTTCATACGTTCCATTCTTACTAATCCTACATTTAAACTCACAGAAACAGCCCACTGAGTTTCTCGCCGAAATGAAATACGTACTCAACAAATGTTCACGATTGACTTCCACGGTGAAGGAATAACATCGTGTAATAAAAATGAAACCCGCAAAATTATAATTTGCGTAATTACTGGTGGTAGGACCTCTTGTGAGTTCACGCGGGTCGGTACCACCACCCTGCCTATTTCTGCCGTGAAGCAGTAATGCGTTTCGGTTTGAAGGGGTTAGGCAGCCGTTGTAACTATACTTAAGACCTTAGAACTTATATCTCAAGGTGGGTGGCGTATTTACGTTGTGGATGTCTATGGGCTCCAGTAACCACTTAACACCAGGTGGGCTGTGAGCTCGTCCACCCATCTAAGCAATAAAAAAAAAATAAAAAAAACTTCTGAGTTGGTCGCGTTTCCGATCCGATTGTATATTCTGCGAAGCACTGCTCTTGCTAGGGTCAGTGTTAGCAACACACCTGGTTTGAGCCCCGAAAGCTCACCTACA